AAGTTTTATAGGAACCAACATCAATATTAGGGTGGGGTGTTTGGGAGAGGGTCATGAAAGTATAAGTTCAGATTTTGTCTTTATTTATAATTGTGATATTTAGATCATCATGGGATTTTTTGGTGTTTTTTCTATCTATCTATCATCTATCTATCTATCTATCTATCTATCTATCTATCTATCTATCTATTTATTTATTGAGAAACAGTCTTGCTCTGTCACCCAGGCTGAAGTGCAGTGGCATGATCTCGGCTCACTGCAACCTCCACTTCCTGGTTTCAAACTATTCTCCTGCCTCAGCCTCCTGAGCAGCTGGGATTGCAGGTGTGCATCACTATGCTTGGCTAATATTTTTTATTTTTAGTGGGCATAGGGTTTTACCATGTTGGCCAGGCTGGTCTCAAACTCCTCAAGTGATCTGCCCACCTTGGCCTCCCAAAGTGCTGGGTGGACACGCGTGAGCCACTGCTCCCAGCCTGTTTTGTCTTTTAAAATTATTATATTAAAATTTCCTATGACTTGTCTTTTTACATTTTTATATTAAAATTGTATATTACTTGTACTGATTTCTGAGTTTTTGGTGGCCTGGTACATTTGGTGCCCAAGGCGAGGGTCTCCTGTGCCTCTCACTTGTCCGGGCCCTGAGTCCACTCCTATTGTCTCTCAGGTGTGTGTGGTCATGTCTGAGTCACGGGTTGAACATGGCTGAGACAGCTGCTATGTGTCGAGAACTCCACAGTATAGTAAGATCCGTGCCTAAAAAGAACAGGTTACCTGGTGAGAAAGCAATACTAAGTCACTACTTTTTATTTGGTAGTTAGGAAAGACCTCTGAGAAAGGGGCATTTGAAATAATCTCACACTTAGAGAAGTTACAAGAACTGCCCAAACCTCTGTATATTCTTCCTGGATTCAACGACTTGTAACATTTTTCCATTTTTGTTTCCTATTCCTCCCCACCCACTCCATGCACACACAAACACACATGGTGTGCATGTGTGCACATACGCATTACTTTAAAAATAAATTAAAAGTTAAAGATAGTAAGTAGCACATCTTAGAATCTTTATGGAAATAATCAAGAAAAGAAATTGAAGACTGAGGAGAGAGAGGTAATCAACAATGCTCTGGAGTCTTGGAAGAAATGAGAGATGAAATTGAATACTCACTTGGAACTGGGTTCTGGGAGGAGAAAGGATTCTTTCTCCCTTGCAAAAGGAGTGATGGGCATCATGGCAGCAGGTCTATGGATTTAGTGGTAGGAAAGTGAGGCATTTTGGTCTGGTGGCTTCTACATTATAAATTAGGAATAAGACAGCTTTTGGAGTGAGGAGAATAAAAGTTAAATTAGGAAAGCACAGAAACCTCGTTGAGTGGCCTTGATGCCTGTTTGATGTTGGTGATCAAGAATGTAGTCCTGGGCATGGTAGCTCATGCCTGTCATCCCAACACTTTGGGAGGTCGAGGAGGGGTGACCTTGAGGTTAGGAGTTTTGAGACCAGCCTGAGCAACATAGTGAGATCCTATCTATTCAACATAAAAAACAATAGCCAAGTGTCATGGTGTGTTTGTAGTCCCAGTTACTCAGTAGGCTAAGGTAGGAGGATTGCTTGAGCCCAGGAGTTTGAGGCTGCAGTGAGCTATGATTATGCCACTGCACTCCAGCCTGGGTGAGAGAGCAACACCCCATCTCTAAAATAATAATAATAATAATAATAATAATTTAAAGAGCTGCAGATATGCCAAATTGTGCAGGAGACATGGTACAAGTGAGACAAAGCAAATTGGTGGCGTCACCCAGGGCTGGAGTGTCACAGAGGAAGAATAGTGCGGCAGAGGAGAGAGGATTGGATTGTCCATCCACAGCTTCTGAGCAGGGTATTGCCTTCACACCCACATTCCTATGACTAGCTAGCCTGATACTCTGAACCACTGATGAGAGGCTGGTATACCACAGCCAGGAAGGGGAATTGCTTTGGTAAATTCATGATCTGGAGGAGGAGGCTTCCCTGACAACAGAAGGGGCTACTAGAGATCTCTCTCCTTTTTCAGCCTTGGGAGGATGTTTGTGTTTTTATTTTTATTTATTTTTTATTTTTTTATGGAGTCTTGCTCTGTCACCCAGGCTGGAGTACAATGGTACAATCTTGGCTCACTGCAGTCTCCGCCTCTGGGGTTCAAGTGATTCTCCTGTCTCAGCCTCCTGAGTAGTGCACGCCACCATGCCCGGCTAATTTTTGTATTTTAGTAGAGTCAGGGTTTCACCATATTGGTCAGGCTGGTCTCAAACTCCTGACCTTGTGATGTACCCACCTTGGCCTCCCAAAGTGCTGGAATTGCAGGCATGAACCAGCGTGCCTGGTTGTATTTTTATTTGCAATAACAATAGTATTATACTATCTCTCATACACATATAATTGTTTATGTCTTTCTTAGAAGAGTTTAAAATATTTCCCAAAGATGATATTGTTCATCGTTAACAAGGAGCGAAGAATGTAAATAGATCATTTTCAGGTGGGGAAATTCAGCATCAAGACAACTCGCCTGAAGTTACTGAGCCAAGTGGTTCCAGAGACGGGGAAAGGACCCAGACAGTCAGCATTTTAATGTCTATTTACCAGCTCATGTTTCCATGGAGAAAATTCAGAGAACTCCAAACAGATGCTGAGCCCACATTCTATTCCTGAAGATACATGTGGACTGTGTTCACCAAGATTTGCAAAGCTTTCAGAGAGTGAGGAATGACTTTGGTGGGGTGTGAAAGACAGGGTGATTTCTAGTTCAGTTTTGGAAGGCATCCCATCCCACCTGGTGAGAAGCTGGATTCAATGTCAGTTGGCTGTTTTCTTGGTGGAGATTTGTGTCACACCATGCCAGGCCTACCTCCATGCCTTTCCCATGGAATCATCCCTTTCTACACATTCTGTGCTCTCTTTCTGTTCCATTATACAGATTAGCCTGGATGCTTCTTTGAGAGACCCTCTTCCCAAAAACTTGCCCCTTAAACTTTGCCATGGGGATCTCCCTTTATGTGTAACACTCGATTGCCCTCTATGCTTTTTATTAAAGGACAAATGTTTATAGCCCTCTGTAGTAGTCCATTTTCATGCTGCTGATAAAGACAGACCTGAGACTGGGAAGAAAAAGAGGTTTAACTAGACTTACATTTCCACATCGCTGGGGAGGCCTCAGAATCATGGCCAGAGGTGAAAGGCACTTATTACATGGTGGCAGCAAGAGAGAGGTAAGGAGGAAGCAAAAGTGGAAACCCCTGATAAACCCATCAAATCTCATGTGCCTTACTCACTGTCACAATAATAGCACGGGAAAGACCAGCCCCATGATTCAGTTAGCTCCCCCTGGGTCCCTCCCACCACACGTGGGAATTCTGGGAGATACAATTCAAGTTGAGATTTAGGTGGGGACACAGCCAAACTGTATAACCCTCCTGGGGTGTGGTTGGAAGGGGGTTCCAATTAGTGGTATGGTATGAAATGTTTAAACAATGAACTCTTATTTAAAAAACAACAGGGAAGCCTTATTTGTAGGGTTTACCAGTTTTCATGGTGTAAATCCTCAAGCTACCAATACAACACTGAACCCCGAGTTTGGAAGGGTTGTGCGTAATTGCTGTAGTGAGCCTGTACGAGTTGGCTCCAGAGCACTGGCGGTGTCTTAAAGATATACGTTGTGTGCTTCCACATATTCTCTTGTCTTCCTTCCTCTGCTGAACCCACAGTTGCTTTCTCCACCCCCGTTGCTACCACTGACTCCACGTGGGCTGTGTGGTTTTCCCATGGAGGTTGGCAAAATTCCTATCCTGAGTACCCCGTTTAAAACTGATGTTCATCATTCACTCTACATTCCTTATTCTTTCACTCAGTTCTAGTTATTCCACAGCACTTAAAACTTTCTAACATATGGTATCGTTTATTTATTTATTAGAGTTAGTACTTTTTTATCTGTGTTTCCAAATGGAATGTAAGTTCAAGAGGGGAGGGATTTTTTTGTTTTGTTTAATAATGTACCCCAAATCCTTTGAACAGTACTTTTTTTTGAGATAAAGTCTCCCTCTGTCACCCAGGCTGGAGTGCAGTGGCGTGATCTCAGCTAGCTGCAACCTCCACCTTCTGGATTCAAGTGACTCTCCTGCCTCAGCCTTCTGTATAGCTGGGACTACAGGCACAGCTACCCCGGCTAATTTTTTATGTCTTTAGTAGAGACAGGTTTCACCCTGTGACCCAGGCTGTTTTAGAACTGCTGTGCTCAGGCGATCTGCCCACCTCCACCTCCCAAAGTGCCGGGATTACAGGCATGAGCCACCGTACCCAGCCTGAACAGTACTTTTGAATAGAATAGGTACTCACTAAATATTTGTTGAATGAATGAATGAATGAGATACTATGGCTTCTAGTTTCTCACTTTTTATGAAGCTCCTAGGATGGTGCAGATAGCTCAAATCTAAACAAATACTTGTTGATTGATTGCTTTTGAGAGGTTACAGAGGAGTTGTTGACAACTAAAGTGGGAACAGACAGTTTCCTTAGACTCTGAAAGGGCTCTCACTGAACAAGCCCACGATTCTTCAGCCGGGAAAATCCAGTGTCTTCTCAGTATCAGAGAGCTTGGCAAACAGTTTTTATTCACAATGTGAATAAAGCATTATCTGAATCCCCCTCCTCCAACCAGGATTAGGAGAAATAATTCACTGAGATCTCATCAATTTAAATTGTGTTCAGGAAACAAAAATCAAACTGTCGTCCTTAAAACTCACTTGGGCTTGCACATGGAACTGTTCAGTCCTGCAGAATCGGCCTGCCACTGAACTGACTAGATCTAGTGATTGGGGTACTGAATTTCCTTCATACAACCCAGCAGAATATCCAAGGACCTGCCTGGCTGGAAAGCGGGAGGGCTGTGCTTTCTTTAGAGAGAGGCAGGGGAATGAAGGATATTCTCAGAACGAATTAGAAATTTTTATTTGTAGGGTTTTGTGCTTATTCTGATGCAAAATTTATTGCAGGTTTCCTATTAGCTTAGTGGCTCCAAGTGCCTGTGGGGAAAAATTATTATCCCAGCTTTACAGATGAGGAAACAGGCTCATATTGAGACTCTGAAGTGCTTATTATCCATTAGCTTTGCTGTGTCATAACCACACCAAAAGTTAGAGGCTTAATGTTACCACCATTTATTCATTCTCAATTGGCTTATCAGAAATCTGTGCCGGGCCTAGTAGAGATGGGGTCAGATTCACTGTGTTGCCCAGGCTGGTCTCAAATTCCTGGGCTCAAGCCATCTTTTCACCTTGGCTTCAAAAGGGCCTACCTTGAGAACCTCATCTAAAACTGATATTCATAATCCATTCCACATTTCTTATTCCCTCACTCGATTCTAGTTATTCCACAGCACTTAAAACTTTCCACATATGGTTTCATTCATTTATTTATTTATTTTAAATGGAGTCTCACTCTGTTGCCCAGGCTGGAGTGCAGTGGCATGATCTCGGCTCACTGCAACCTCTATCTCCTGGGTTCAAGCGATTCTCTTGCCTCAGCCTGCTGAGTAGTTGGGATTACAGGTGTGTGCCACCACACCTGGCTAATTTTTGTATTTTCAGTAGAGACGGGGTTTTGCCATATTGGTCAGGTTGGTATCAAATTCCTGATCTCAGGTGATCCACCTGCCTTGACCTCCCAAAGTACTGGGAGTACAGGTGTGAGCCATTGCACCTGGCTGGTATCGTTTATTTATTCATTAGATTTATTACCTTTTTATCTGTGTCTTCAAATAGAAGGAAAGTTCAAGAGAGCGGGGATTTGTTTTCTGTTTAATGATGTACCCCAAATCCTTTGAACAGCACTTTTGAGCAGAGTAGGTAGGGATTACAGGCGTGAGCCACCATGCCCAGTTGGTTCTTCTGTTCCTCACTGGACTTACTTATGCACCTTCAATCAGCTACAGCGTGTTCTGGCCTTTGGCTGGGTTACTGGGGCAACTGGGCTATGTGTTTTTCCTCATCCAGCAGGCTAGCCCTGGCTTATTCCCATGGTAGCCGCAGGGCTCCACAAGAGTGGATCTCTTGAAGTGTAGGCTCAGCACTGGCACATAGCCACACCTGCTTCATTCTCTTTGTCAAGGAGGTCACAAGACTAGTCCAGATTTAAGAGGTGGGGATTCCATCTCTCAGTGAGAGTGGCTGCAAAGGTACACAAGGCACTTTACTCCAGAATGCAGTGAAGAACCCAGAAAAATCGACTGTAGCGTTTGGCCAGCGGAGGGCTCTGCAGTTATCCTGTCTTCTGCTGGAGTCTCCTTTCCTGAATTTCTAATGCATTGTGGTCTTGGACACCCCATTTGGTTAACTGCATTGTGTGTTATGCAGTAATTGATGAATGAGGTCCTGACCACCATCTCAGTTTTGGGACACACTGGAAAACCTTTTCCCATCTTCCTTCTCTACCCCCATCATCTGCCTCCTCGCCACTAGCTTGCATCTTAGCCCTATATTGTTATTTCTAAGAATAGTGAAGTTATAGGGGGTGGCTGTGACCACAGAGAGCTAGTGACCTGCTTATACCATTTTCAAGTTTCCAACTTCTTGGCGTGAGTCCCCTGTGGCCTTTAGTCAATCCATAGTTTAAGTTGAATACTTCTATAGCATAGACAGATTATTTAGAGTTGGCATGGGCTTAGAATATGCAATGATAGAGGAAAAAGTAATTTCTGAATTGCTGGTAAGGAGAAACTTGACAGTAAATGAATTAAAAACACTTTTTCTGTTATAGAAAGCCTAGGCTATGGAGTGTAAACTGGATTTGAATTCATAACTTCCCTGCTATGTTTTCTCAGGCAAATAATATATTCAAGCTGAGTTTCCCCGTCTATAAGAAGAAAATAATATGCACTTGCACAGTTGTCAAAAATAAATGAAATAAATATATTAACAGTCCGGGCACATGTGAAATGCTTAAAACCACTTTGTTTCGTCTCTCTCCAGCTGTTGTGTTTTCCTTAAAAGGAATTCTCAAATTCGTAACTTTCTCCTTTTAAATCCTACATTAGTTGTTGCAGAAAAATTGGACTCAGAGAAGGGAAAGTTGCTGCAGGGGGGTCTCTGAGTGATAATAACGTAGAGTGTTTAGGTTGAGAAACAAGGTGCCATTCCAGGAATGCTACGTGCAAATCTCAGAGCGTCTCAGGCCTCCGGTGAATACATGACAAGCCGCCCTCCAGGAGTCAGTGTTAGCTCTGACTGTGTACCGGCTGACCAGTTCTAGACTCTTCTGGGCTGCTCCTCAATGAATGGTAACCTTCTGTCCCTGGGTGCTCTGAGAACCATGAGAGAGAGACCATCAGCCAAGTCTTCGGGGCCCCTGCAGGATTGAGAGGAGGGGGAGGAAAAGGAAAGCAAGAGAGTCTGAGACAGAGAATGGGGCAAACCAAGAACCCAAAAAAGGAGAGAGTTGGAATTGGCACCATGTGGTGATTTGCAGTTTACAAAACTGCATATACATTATTGGAGCTTATTCCACACCCCGCCCCCCACCTTTTTTAAATTTTTGAGACAGTCTTGCTGTCACCCAGGCTGGAGTGCAGTGGTATGATCTCAGCTCACTGCAACCTCTACCTTTTGGGTTCAAGTGATTCTCGTGCCTCAGCCTCCTGAGTAGCTGGGCTTACAGGTGCATGCCACCACACCTGATAATTTTTTTTTTTTGGTATTTTTATTAGACACAAGGTTTCACTGTGTTGGCCAGGATGGTCTTGAACTCCTCACCTCAAGTAATCCAACGCCTCGGCATCCCAAAATACTGGGATTCCAGGCATGAATCCCAGTATTTTTCCCATTTTTTAGATGAGCAAACTGATACTCAAATGTGTACCCAGCTATATTTTCCCATTTTTTAGATGAGCAAACTGATACTCAAAATGTGTAAGCGGCTTTACCAAGACCACGTAGCTAGTAAATGGTAAAGACAGAACTTAAAGCCAGTGCTCCGGATTTCCTGCCTGTACGCCTGCTGGTGCATTGCACGTATGTTGCTAGGTAGAGCCCGGAAAAGGGCCACCACGTTGCTGCAAGTCAGTAGACGTGACGGGCCACTTAGGATCAGGAGCACCTGTTGGTTTGTTGCCTGCCATACACGCATTAACCATTATTTGGTGACTTTTATGCTCTGAAGGTGGAAAATTAAAAGGCAGTTATAAATAGCGTGATAATTGTCAGCAGAGTCGCATGTTTCTAGGAGAGTAGATTGGAGGCGCCCACCTCATGTAGTTTGAGGCAGTCAGATAAACTTCCTGGTTGGTGCCAGTGTCATCCAAGCAGCAGGCTGGAGGGCGCGGGTGGTGAGCTGAAAAGGTTCTAGAAGAAAACAGTGGATACCGAGGCTCAGAAAAGCAGTATTTAGAAAGTGAAATGAGGTTGGGAGTTGACTCTGGAGAGGAAAGCAGAGTTCATACCTTAACAAGTACTGCAATCTAATTAGATGCTTGGACTTCAGCCCGAGGGCAAAGCGAAGCCCTCAGGGAAATCACAGGATCAGATGCACATTTTGGACAGTCACTCTTGCTACAGTGTGAAGAATGGATTGGCCAGGGATAAGACTAGAGATAGAGAGACCGGGAGGAACCTTTGCCCTAATGCAAGGAAGAGGTACTGCAGTCATCTCCAGCTTCTTGTTTCTCTCAGTTCTGGAGGCTGAGAAATACCAAATCAAGGCACCAGGAGATGTGGGATCTGGTGAAGGCCCACTTCCTGGTTCAGAGACCACCGTCTTCTTACTGTGTCCTCAGGTGGCTGAAAGAACTCTGGAGCTCTCTGGGGTCTCTCTTTTTTTTCTTTTTTTTTTGAGATGGATTCTTGCCCTGTCACCCAGGTTGGAGTGCAGTGGCACGATCTTGGCTCACTGCAACCTCCACCTCTCGGGTTCAAACTATTCTCCTGTCTAGCCTCCTGAACAGCTGGGATTATAGGCACCCACCACCATGCTCAGCTAATTTTTTAGTAGAGACAGGGTTTCACCATGTTGGGCAGGCTGATCTGGAACTCCTGACCCCATGATCTGCCTGCCTCAGCCTCCCAAAGTGCTGGGATTACTGGTGTGAGCCACTGCGCCTGGCGATAGCACGATCTTGGCTTATGGCAACCTCCACCTCCCAGGTTCAAGTGATTCTCCTGCCTCAGCCTCCTGAGTAGCTGGGATTACAGGTATGAGCCACCAGGTCCAGCTAATTTTTTTTTGTATTTTTTAGTAGAGACAGGTTTCTCCATGTTGGTCAGGCTGGTCTCAAATGCCAGCCCTCAGGTGATCCGCCCACCTTGGCCTCCCAAAGTGCTGGGATTATAGGCATAAGCCATCGCACCTGGCCAAGGAGCTTTTTCTTTAAGATGGAAGAGCATATCTAAATGCTAGTGAGAAGCCGGGAATGTAAAGAGGGAAGACACAGGGCAGAGAGAGGACCGGAGATGCAGTGAGGTCTCCAAGGTGGTGGGCGGGCGACCTGGGAAGTGATAGGACCCGAAGCGCAGGTACATTGCTTTTTTTTTTATTACCACATACTCCTCACGTGTTTGCTGAATGGAGGCTTGGGTCTTGGATCAAGCACTGTTCCCAGACCAAACTGAGGGCCGGGCTGCTTACTCTCATGGCCCAGTAATGAGATACAGATGAACTGGAAGGGGGGGGAGGGAGTTTTTATTTCTGTAACTGGTGACAGGGAGAAGGTTTGGAAATTATCGCCAGACCAACTCAAGATTACAAAGTTTTCTAGAGCTTATATACCTTCTAAGCTATATGTGTATGTGTAAGTGTGCATTCATCTAAAGACATAAGTGATTAACTTCTTTTAATCTATAACTAAGATGTGAGTCCTGAAGACCTTCCTCTGGAACCTCAGTAAATTTACTTAATCTAAATGGGTCCAGGTGCTGGGGTAATTGCCCTTATCTTGTCGCCTGCTAAATTATGGAGGTTTGGGAAGTTTCTTCAGAACCCGAATCAACTTGTTTGTGGAGGCCTGGGGATTTTCTTCAGACCCCCAATAAAACGTTTTAAATCCTAAACGAGTCCTCTTAAGAATTCCTTCATTATCCCCTTCACACTTCAAGACCCAGGCAAAACTCTTGGTGGATTTTGTTACATCCCTGCCTTTGCATGCGGGTACTGGCTCTCTCAGTGTTTAATATTTAACCTAACCACGCAGTCAGTGCTGAAACAGTTGTGATGGAGGCCTGCGTTAGTGAGACCTGGCCTGCCACAGCCCCTCTTCACGGCTGCCTTTGTCACTGAAGTAGAAGCATGGTGATGGTTTTAGATGCAGGTTTAGAAGGATGAGCGGCACTGCCTGAGGTCTTAGAAGTAAGGAACCGAGGGTGCATGTGGTCATGGTGTTGAAGGAGGCTGGGAGAAAATGGGCATTGCTCGAAACGACCATGGTGGAAACTGCCAACTTGGAAATAGAAGGAGGCTGTGCTTGTGTAGGGCTCGCTGGACACAGGAGGCTGTGGACAGTGTTGAGCAGACCCTGGGTGTGATCATCTCCATCAGTGCTCCCTGTCTGGGTGCTGGAAATGGGGGGACAGTTGAATGGAACCAAAGCCCACCCCCAACAATAGAGGCTATACAAAGATGAACAAAGAGTAAGAGAGTGAGGATACTGACAAGAGAGTAGTTGAACTGAAGGACCAGATGGGGTCTCAACTGTATGCAGAAGGGATGTAAACATGGAAAAGGCCCATACAAATTATTACCACTATATTACTGAGATGGAGTTTCACTCTTTCATCCAGGTTGGAGTGAAGAGGCGTGAACTCGGCTCACTGCAACTTTTGCCCCCCAGGTTCAAGAGATTCTCCTGCCTCAGCCTCCTGAATAGCTGGGGTTACAGGTGTCCATCACCACACCCGGCTAATTTTTATATTTTTAGTAGAAATGTGGTTTAACCATGTTGGCCAGGCTGGTCTTGCACTCCTGACTTCAGGTGATTTGTCCATCTTGGCCTCCAAAAGTGCTAGGATTACAGATGTGAAGCACTGCACCCAGTTGCCCATAGAAATTAGAAATTTCAGTCAGGCACAGTGGCTCATGCCTGTAATCCCAGCACTTTAGGAGGCCAAGGCAGATGAATTGCTTGAGGTCAGGAGTTCGAGACCAGCCTGGCAACATGGCTAAACCCCATCTCCAGTAAAAATACAAAATTAGCTGGGCATGGTGGCACATTCCTGTAATCTTAGCTACTTGGGAGACTGAGGCATGAGGGTTACTTGAACCCAAGAGGCTGAGGTTGCAGTGAGCTAAGATTGCACCACTGCACTCCAGCCTGGGCGATAAAGTGAGATTCTATCTCAAAAAAAAAAAAAAAAAAAAATTTGAGGATTCAAAAACCTCAGTGAATCAGAAAACAGGTGTAGTGGGACTAAAAAAGGAAGAGTAGTTGAACTGATGAACCAGATGGGGTCTAGATGTGGTAGCTTCAATTACGTTCACAAATTCTTTGGCACTTCCTTCAAAAGATGGAGCCTAGTTCACCTCTCCTTGAGCATGGGCTGGACTTGGTGCTTCCATTCTAACAGGGAGAAAAAGCAGAAGAAACCAGGTTATGAAGGCACTCTGGCTTCAGTGTACTGTCTCTTGGATCACTTGCTCTGGGGGGACTTTATTGCCATGTCTTGAAGACACTCAAGAATCCCTCTGGAGAGGCCCATGTGGTGAAGAACTGAGGCCTCCTGCCAACAACCGCCACTACCTTGCCAGGGGTGTAAGTGAGCCATGGAGGAAATAGGTAACTATCTTGACTACAACGTCCTGAGAGGCCTTGAACCGGAACCACTCAGCTAAGCAGCTCCTGGATTCCTGCCTCTCAGAAACTGTGTGAGTTCGTAAATTGTTGTTTTAAGCTGCTAAGGTTTGGGGCAATCAGTCTTGCCACACACAGGTGACAACAAAGGCACTGAAAAATGAGAGAATGAGCATGGATGGTAAAATGTCTGAATCCCAGACCTCAGAGGTTGAACAGACATGGGCACACAGCAATGAATGTCAGAAGTGGCCCGGAAGAGAGGGTACTGGAGCTACAAAAGTCAGGAAGCTTGTTGGAATTAAAGTTAATTAAAGTTACCCAAAGCAAAACAGAACTCAGCTCAGAGAGGGACCATGAGCCGTGGACGAGGTCTTCGATGAGGAGGAGTGATGGGCATGAGGGTGGATGACATTCCTGAGTAGGGGCAGATGGCATGAGTAGGATCCTTCACGTAAAAGCAAGGGAGTCATGATTTTGAAGCAGGATTTTTCTCTGCCCCTTTGACAGACTCCTAGCAGGGGCACCCCATCTCCTTGGCCTCCTGCGCTCAGCTCCTTGCAAAGTGGGAGCATGTGAGTGAGTGAGTGTGGGATCCCGCCCACCACAGGAGCAAGCTCTGTGCAGGGCCGATGGCCAGACCAAGTGTGTTGCCTCAAGAGGAACGTGGCAGTGCCCAGGAAGGGGTACCCACCACCTCAAAGCCCCAGAGGGGTTGTTAGTGTGCTAATTAGCTTTCTTAGTTCCTCCATCCATAGCCAGTTGGACGGTTAGTCCAACTAGCAGCTCAGTTAGTCCCTGGGCCCATCCTGTAGGGCAGCTGCCCTCTGCCAGTGAGGGCAAAGGGCCAGTGTGACAGTCTTTCTGGGTACCCACACTCAGTGGGTCTTGAGCTCTTTTCCAGCATCCAGAAGAATGAGGTCATGCTTGACAATTAAAGGATGGTGAGGGCAGAGAATTTTATGTAGCAATGGAACAGCTCTCAGCAGAGGGGAGAGTTGGAGAGGAGATGGGAAAGGCAGGTCATCGTCCCCTGACGTCAGTAAGTCTCTTCCCAGTCAGACCATCTTCCCGTCTCCCCTCTACTGACTGAGTCTGGGATCTTTATAGGAATAGGATGGGGGTGGGGTGGGCCATAGGTAATACTGGAAAAGGCAACATTTGATTAGTTCAAAGGGATTATTCAGAAAGAACCAATCAGGAGAGAGCAGGTAAACAAGAATGAAAATTCTCTCTCTGGTCTGTGGGTTTCAGGCTGCTTTTGGCTTGAAGGGGGGCTTTCACCGAGGACCTGCCCCTATCTTCCTAGGATTTCTTTGTCTCCTGCCTCCAATAATTTGAAGGCAACATAAGCTCATGAAATGGCTCCAGTCCCTCTCCAGATTCCAGGTCTTTATGGTGTGGCAGGATGCATGGCCACACTTGAGAGACTCAGGGGACAGCGAGATTTAACCTAAAGTCAGGAACTGGGAATCCACTCAAGCCGGGGGCTGAAAGTGCAAATGTAGGAAAGTACAGTGACTGTGGAGTGGGGATGCCCCAATATATGGTAAAGGGTTTGGAAGTAAGGGAGTGGAGGGGTGTGTGTATGTGTGTGCGCGTGTGTGTGTGTGTGTGTGTGTGTGTGTGTAATCTAACCTCAGGCCCACTGAAGAGGATTCAGGCAAGGCTGACTGACTGCTTGTGAGTTTTCTGGGCCATCCCTCCAGTCCCTGTCACAAGCACTAATTCGATTTCTCAGCAGTTCATGCCTATAATGCACACATTACTGGGGTCACACAGACACAGCAACCCTGCATGTTAAACATGGCATCTGGGTCACAGGCATTCAACACGCTGAGGTTTTTCTCTTACAAAATACTATTCTTGCAGTAGTCTGATTTATTATTCATATTGTTTGAAAGGATACAGTTAGAAAACAGGCTTCTAAAGGCAACTTTCTAACCTAATACAAGGAGATAGCAGGTATTTGTTGGTCCATGGTTGATGTCTTTTTTTTTTTTCTTTTTGGTGGGGAGATTATTCTTTTTATTTCTTCTTGTGAAAAATAAAACCTTAGCTGGGTGTGGTGGTGTGTACCTGTAATCTCAGCTACTTTGGGGGCTGAGGTGGGAGAAGTGTTTGTGTTTGGGAGATTGAGGCTGCCATGAGCCATGACTGCATTACTGTGCTCCAGCCTGGGTGACAGAGTGACACCCTGTCTCAAAAGAAACCACATTCTCTACATCTGAGGGTATCCTATAGGAAATAACTCAGTGTCTGGGATTGATTCAGGGTTTGCAGAATAAACTTTTCTTAAGTGTACAGATTATTGCTTACATAGCTGGGCATGGTGGCTCATTCCTGCAATCTCAGCACTTTGGGAGGCTAAGCCAGGTGGACTGCTTGAGCTCATGGAGGTTGCAGTGAGCCAAGATTGTGCCACTATACTCCAGCTTGCGCGACAAAGCAAGACTCCATCTCAAAAAAAAAAAAAATTAGCCCAGCATGGTGTCACAAGCCTGTAGTTTCAGTTACTTGGGAGGCCGAGGTGGGAGGATTGCTTGAGCTGGGAGGTGGAGGCTGCAGTGATGGGGCATGATTGGGCACCACTGCACTCCAGCCTGGGTGTAAGAGCAAGACCCTGTTTCAAAAACTAACTAAATAAGGAATTTGAATGTCTTTAAAGGATGAAAATGATAGTTATATGCATATGCATGATATAAAAACAGATATTATTTATGAAAAATAGAAACAAGTTTCCTGAGGTATCAAATAACAGTTCTGAAAATGAGCAGAAAAGACGAGATGTGTATGTAGGGTAGGGGGTTACTCACTGTTCACTTAACTTCCAGCAAGAGCAACAGCTAAAGAATCCATTGAGTGTTTTCTGAACTCAGAACAATGTAGCATTCTAGGCTCTATGACATCATTTTTTAAAAATAGCTGCTTTCACCAAGAGATATCAGTTTATAATGAAAACGTTTTTTCATTTCTTTGGGGAAGAGGGAGGAGAAAG